AACATCGTGCCAAAGGAAAAAGATCCATGATGGGAAGTAGTGAAGGACAGTACCGACCAAAAGAAGTATGTCTTGTAAGGCCTCCCACCTTTAATGGAGAGGACTACTTGTATTGGAAGGATTAAATAGAGATGTTTATCAAATCCACCCAATACCATATTTGGAGAATCATCACTCAAGATGATGTTGATGTTACCGAGCCTAAGAGTGAATACACTCAAGATGACTACAACATATTATAGCTCAACACCAAAGCAAAATACATCCTTGTGGCTGCTTGCGACATATGACGGGCGAAAGGTCTATGTTCCTAGACCTCAAGTCCAAAAAAGAAGGCCAAGTCACATTTGGCAGAGGACAGAAAGGAAAAATCATAGGGATAGGTAAAATAGGTATCAACTCCTATATTTCCATTGATAATGTCTTATATGTTAAAGGATTAACACATAACTTTCTGAGCATAAGCCAATTGTGTGATAGTGGTTATGAAGTATCCTTCAACAAAAATAAATGTACTATTAGTCAAACTGATTCATCTATATTATTTATGGTTAATAGATGCAAAAACTTGTACAAAATAATGCTTAATGAGCTAGAACATCAAAATGTTGATTCTCTAGTCTCATATGAAAACTAGTGGCTCTGGCACGAAAAGCTTGGTCATGCAAGCTTGAGATTAATCTCAAAGCTGAAAAAGCATAACCTCGTAAGAGGTCTACCAAGTCTTGTGTATTAGATGAATAGTTTATGTGAAGCATGTCAAAGAGGAAACAAGTTAAAAGTTCATTCAAAAGTAAAAATCATGTTTCCACCTCAAGACCTCTTGAACGATTCCACATAGATCTATTCGGTCCCACCAGGACTGCATTTGTCAGGTTAAACGGTATGGATTAGTCATTGTTGATGACTACACAAGATGGACATGGGTGTTGTTCATAACCCACAAGGATGAGTCCTTCAAGGTGTTCTATGTATTCTGTAAAAGGGTTCAAAATGAAAAAGGAATATCAATTACATCTATAAGAAGTCATCATGGGGGAGAATTTGAAAACAAACAGTTTCAAAACATTTGTGAAGAAAATGGAATTAAACATAGTTTTTCAACACCTAGAACTCCACAACAAAATGGAGTTGTAGAGAGAAAGAGTCGATCTTTACAAGAAATGGCAAGAACATTGTTAAATGATTTTTCAACTCCCAAACACTTTTGGGAAAAAGCAGTTAATACCTCCTACTATATTCAAAATAGAATATAGATTAGGCCTATTCTAAAGAAAATTCCCTATGAATTTTGGAAGGGACGAGCACCCAACATTACATATTTTCATCCATTTGGATGCAAAGGCTTCATTCTAAACACTAAAGACAATTTAGGAAAATTTGACTCAAAAGCTAACAAGGGTATTCTACTTGGATACTCTGAAAGGTCACGAGCCTATAGAGTCTTCAACAACAGAACCAAAACTGTTGAGGAAGTTATTCACGTAAAATTTGATGAAAACAAGCCTGATAAAGAAATATCAGAGCTAGGAAATTTCTTTGAGAACATGCAGGTGAACAAAAACCAGACGAAGAATGATGAGTCTAAAGAAGTTGTAGTTGAACAGGATGAAAGAGAACTAGTCAATCAAAACTAGCATATGAAAAATCATCATCCATAAGAGCAAATTAATGGTGAAGCAAAGGATGCAGTAAGGACTAGAAGCTCATTCAAAACACAGGCACAGATTGCACTGCTATCCCAGGTTGAACCAAGAACCAAAAACGAAGCTTTGTTAGACAAAAGCTGGGTTCAAGCCATGCAAGAAGAACTTACCCAATTCCAGAAAAATGACGTCTGAAAACTCGTTCCAGTACCAAAGGAAAGAACGATCATTGGCACAAAATGGGTGTACAGAAACAAACTAGACAAATTAGGAAATGTGAGAAACAAAGCCAGGTTAGTTGCAAAAGGGTACTCATAACAAGAAGGTATTGACTTTAGTAAAACTTTTGTACCAGTTGCTAGGATAGAGGCAATTAGAATATTTCTTGCTTTTGTTGCATGTACTGGTATGAAATTGTACTAAATGGACATTAAAAGTGCATTTTTAAACATGACAATTTCAGAAGAAGTTTATGTAAGCCAACCCCTAGCCAAACTTTAGCAACTCCCTCCAATGAGTGTGGAAATGCCTTCAAGTAAATGTGGTCCTCTTGAACATTAGGAGGCTTCATCGTAGAACAAACAATATGGAACTCCTTCTTATGTTTATGTGGATCCTCACCTGCATGACCATGAAACTTGGGCAACAAATGGATTAGTCCAATTTTAAGCACAAAAGGAAGATCCTCTTCAGGATATTGAATGCACAAACTCTCATATGTGAAATCAGGTGCAGCCATCTCCCTTAGAGTCCTCTCATGGGGTCCATTATAAGGTTGTTCACCCATGTTTTCTGTTTGAATTGAAGCAAGCTCAGATGCAACACTTACACTATGAATATCATTATGACTATTACTATCACTATCTAAAGATGGAATTATATACTCTCTAATTAGTCTATGGAATGTCCTATCAATCTCAGGATCAAATGGATGCAAAAAACCAGGGTTGTTCCTAGTCATGCACTACATGCAACTACTAGTAGAAACTACCACAAAAATCATTAGAATATTCATTCAAATTTGGAAACCATTAAAACTAATGCACCAATATCATCCTAAAATCATTAGAAACTACCACAAAAAATTTGAGAGCAAAATTCAAAGCCTAACTATATAAACTACCTAAGAAAAGTTTGGAAAAATAGGGAAATAAAACTTCAAAATTAGAAGAAGAAAAAAATAGTAAACAACCTTTTTTTGAAGATCTAGCTGGGTTCGATAGATCTCATTTTTCTACTCAAAATGCATATATAATTTGTTCAATTCTGATAACTAGAGCAAAAGTTATGGCCGTTTGAAGTTTTGGAAAAATCTAGCCTTACAAATTTTTTTATCTCCAAATCTGGACCACCTTTAGGGCCTCTGGTTTTTTTTCACACAAAATATGGGTTGAAAGAAGTTACCACGCAAAATTTGAAGCAAAAATAACAAGTCTAGCTATCAAAACCAAAAATCCCAATTAATTGGAAAATTCGGTTACTATTCATCTAGTAGCAATCCTTTCCAGCTGATTTTTGATTCTACACTTGTGGACCTTGCAAGAATTGAAACTCAACACAACACAATGATGATTCAGCAAACCAGATGGAATCAATATATAGATGGTTAATGAGCTATGGAATGCAATAAAGAGCAGTTATCACAAATACGTGGGCTTTTTGGATTATTGGGTTGGTGCACAAGGTTTTGCGAAGTGATTATAGTTGACGTGGATGTGTTTAATGTAATTAATATTTTCTTTACTTTACCTCATGAAAATTCGTGATAGCCAAATACCCATTCGGTATGTTCATCGGCCGAGGGGTATTCAGCATGTCCATTGGTTGAGGGGGTGCTCGGCCTGTTCATTGGCCGAAGAGGTGTTCGGCCTGTTCATTGGCCTAATGGATATTTCGGCCTATTCATTGGCCTGAGGGCTACCTGGCCTATTCATTGGCCTGAGGGGTACCTGGCCTATTTATTGGCGTGAGGGGTACTCGGCTTGAGGGGGTATCCGTCCTATTCATTGGCTTGATGGGTACTCGGCCTATTCATTGGCATGATGGGTACTCGGCCTGATGGGGTACTCGGTCTAAGGGGGTACTCAACCTATTCATTGACTTGATGGGTACTCGACCTATTCATTGGCCTGATGGGTACTCGGCCTATTCATTGGCCTGATAGGTACTCGACCTGAGGGGGTACTCGGCCTATTCATTAGCCTGATGGGTACTCGGCCTGATGGGGTACTCGGCCTATTCATTGGCCTGATGGGTACTCGTCTGATTGGGTACTTGGCCTAAGGGGGTACTCGGCCTATATTTTGCGTTTTGGGTGCATCTCGGTCTTTTCCAAGACCGACGAGGTGCGTTCGATATTGACTTTGACCGGTTGGTGTATATTCCCGGTACATTTATATTTCAATCATTTATAAACCCTTTATGACCTTTTGGAGTGTGAGGTGAACTTTTGTTTAATTACTATTAGTTTTAGTTTTATTTCTTTTATGTGACTAGAGTTTAATGTGAACCATTTTTCTTTGTGAAAAATATCTTATAACATTTCAATTTTCTGTTGTTTTACTTTAAAAGTAATTTGCAAAAAAACTTTAATTAAATTTTAATAAATTGTAAAAGGGGTAGAGAGTATCTTTGAATAAATCTATACGGTCTATGTTAACATAGTGCAATTAGATGATTCTTAAACTCCCGTATAGTCTTGTCAAATTTGTGATTGTTAATAGGACACTCTACCATCGATATATAACTTAGTTGAAATCAATATTCTGTAGTCTTCTATTCGTTCTTTTTGTGCATGTGCACATTGGATGGATATGTGAATATAAAACAGCCAGACTCAATAATCAAGTTTTTATCTTGATGTAGATATCTTGAAGATTGTGAAGATAAATAAAGAGATACAAAACTTAAATACGAACTTTACTTATAGCAATGTCTTTTTAATATACACGAAAAAATTATCCTTATTTTCATAATTAGCAAATAAACAAGTAAGGAATGTGTATAAGATAATAAGGTGCTACACTTAACAAATATACTTGATGATATTTATTTAATTCATCATATCACTTTATTTTAACGTATAAAATAATATTCAAAATACATATGAATATCTATTATTAAATAACATATTTAGAAGAATCTAAATAATTTTAAATTTGATTAACATGACCATGAATAAAATATCATTAAATACAATAACTAGATTAGTTATATCAACATTCTAAAAAAAAAAGAATTAGATGACAGTTTACTAATTTGACGACATTTTGGCGTTTACGGACTCCCACTCATAAATGTTATAAATAATGCGATAAAAAAGATTAAAAGTAACGGGATGAAAATGAATTGGACTGAAAGTGAATAAATATTTATAATAATCCATTATAATGTTGAGACATCTGTAGTACTGTACTGTAATCTATTTACATGAATTTGTATTTTACAAGTATCGGCCGTGCATGGAACAAGACAACAAGTACTTACATTGTAAATTTCAGATCAATAAGAAAATTACAGGAGATAAGAAAGAAACAAAAAGAAGAATAATCGCATTTCTCCATACTCTTCTTTTTCCAGCCAAACCTAAAAAAATGAAAGCTTCATCATTCATTATTTATTAAACGTGACGAAGCTTTCAGGTGGCGGGTGAAACGGGAACAGACAAATTCAATCAAGGACGTTCCTTCAAGTTATCTTCTCTATACGCTTTGGCTTTCTCAATGGACTTCATGGCTTCTTCAAAAGATTTCTGAGTGCAAAATAAATACAAAGGAACAATTCAGTATCCCTATCCATAAAGTTAACATGAAGCTTAAAACAACATACAGGAAGTTTCCATTAATCATTTACTAAATACTTCTTTTAGAAATGTAAGCAAACCTTTCAATGTGTTAACTGAAAAGAAATACTAAAAGTAATACATAAAGCCATTTTCTGCCATGCCATAATTACAAGCATGTCATGCGAATTACTAAGTAGTCAGAAAGTGACGTAAACATATACACGAATCAGATGGGTTGATTTCCGTCAATCTCCAGTTTTCATTTATTTTCTATTCTACCACATTATTTACAGCGTGTTTGGAAATACATGCTTCGAGAGGCACATTTAACTTGAAAAGTCCCGTCTTAACTGAAGCTACAAGTGCTTGCTTCCACGACTGTTGGTTGTTGGATGTGATAAATTACATTCCGAAATCATTTTCAAACACACTTAATAGTTTCTTGCAAGATCCTGATGCAGAATAAATGTAGCTAGTTGATGGTCTGGTATGGGGTGTGAGGGAAAAGAAACTTAGCAGGACGAAGCATATTTCCAAGATCAGCTGCAGAGATTTCTAAAAATGCAGAAGCTAAATTGACTGCAATCAATCAGGACAGAGATCAGCCTACCCAAACCATGCCTCATACTTCAATTTCATTGGGTAAGACAAAACCCGGTAACTAGGCAAGGAAGGAAGGTTTAGTTTGATATCGGTGCAAAAATAGAGGTAACAAATATGGATCAGTTTTCTTACTGATAAAAATATCCAGGAAAATTTCACCCCCATTTTTATCCTTACAAATAACTCACCCTAAGGTGAATTTGGATGCGGCGATTTCATAAAGAAGGTTTTTCAGTGGTGTGGACCTCGTTAAATCAGATAGAAAACAGGTTCAGAGCAGAAAAACACAGAAAAGGAGTGGTGATAAGTGCCATCTATTACTAAAGTACATAACACTGGGAAAAGAAGTAAAGGAAAAAGCAAGTGTAACGATTCACATAAACCAGAGTTCAGGTGGGAAGGAACTCGCACACATAGGGGATTTTCTTGTGACTGCCTAGACGAGGTGGCAGCAATGGAGGGAGGAAAGCGACAGTGGTGTTCTATTGGAGCAGAAGGAGAGATAAATTTGATTGTGGGGCAAAAATGGGATAGAAGGTAAGCATGGAGTTGGTTGAGGAGCGGGATTTGGAAGAAAGCTAGTAGTATCAGTAACTTTCTATTTTAAGATTTTGTAGTTTCTGCTTTAATGAACACATCAGAGTGGGTTTTTAACAAGGCAGCAAGCATTCATATGGGCAAACTTAAGGCAGCTCGCAGAGGTTTGTCTTTTGCATGGGAGTTAAGTTGCAGGAAGGTTTACTTGGAAGGAGTTGCCGAATATGTTTAATGGTGCACCAAGGAGAATTTGTAGAGCCTTCTAATAATGATGTTGAATTTAGAGATTTAGGTATAGAGGGAGGAAAACAGAGAATAGAGAATGTATAGACTGGACCAGAGTTGAAGAACCAATTCTTGTCAAGCTCAAACCAGATGGGGAGTTCTTCCTACACAACATTCCACCAGAAATCTGTTGCTATGCCTCTTGGGTTCGTAGTTTTTGAATAGTTTTTGATCATGGTTATTTCCCACAAAACTGTAATATGGTGAATGACTAATGAGCCAATAGCTAATTTTGCCAGATAAAATGATCTTCGTATCTCCCTTTTAGTTAGTAAGCATCTTTTGAGGCAAGATTTATCAGTTGAATAAATTTTTCATCACATGAACAAACAAAGATCACATGATTGAGAACAAAGAAAAAATTTGTGCTTATGAATCAATTATGTGTTGCAAGATATGAACTTTCATACTTAATTTGGATGGGAAAATGAAATAAAGGCAACAATTACGCTGGGATGTGGTACAACAAAATTGGAAGATTAAGAAAAAAAAAAAAAAGGAGAAAACCAAAATCTTACCCCAGAATTTTGCACTCTCCACAAGGATTCTCCGCTTGAATCAATGACAACTATCCCACCTAATATAGCCCTGCATAAAACTCTTTTATCAGATTATTGGCAGTACATTTTTAAACCAAAAGCAACTAAACACATGATATTAATTCACAGATAATAAAAAACAATCCAGAACAGTGCTTACTCAGAGATAAAAACACTTAATTCATTTAACTCTGTAGCAAACTTTACCGAAAACAGGGCTTAAGTGTCAAATTTCAATTCAACTAACAAGTACAATCTCTTGCATCTAGTAGATCATCCTAACATCAAATTTCGACTTGAACGATCAGTCATTATTAATTAACAGCCACAGTCACGAAGAAAAGGAAAGTGCATTACGCTGCGAAACCGAGATTGAGAAGCGAAGACCGCGACGTCAAAATCCGAAGCGCGAGTTCAAATTTGGACGCGAAGCCACCGCCACTGCCACCAGACCTAGGTTTATACTCGTAACTGCCTCCACCCCTGCCGTAGCCGTAGCTGTACTGCGAATAGTAGTTGTTTCCGGCGCCGGCGGCGGAGCCCCGGCGGAAATTGAAGTCGGCGCGCTTGCGATCGTCCATGAGGACCTCGTAGGCCTCGGAGACCTGCTTGAATCGAATTGTGGCGTTTTCCCTAACGGCTTTGGGCGATTGCGAATGCTTGTCGGGGTGGAACTGGAACGCGAGTTTCTTGAACGCTGCTTTGATCTCTTCCTTGGTCGCGGTTCGGTGCAAGCCGAGGACCTTGTAATGATCCATTTGGCTGTGTTTGGATTTTTTTGATTTTTAGGGTTTTTGGCGTTTTGTTTGGGGAAAGGAAGGGATTGTTCTATCTCTGTCTAGTTGGGTGAATGGGGGGAGTCGGAAGAGGAGATTGAGATTATTCATGGCGCGAGTCGTGGCACTGCGGTGGCCGCTTCTTTCTTCCTCGGGTATAAATTTAAATGGTTTAATTATAATATTAATTATTACAAGTAACTGTCTTTGACTGGTTTTTTTTTTTTAATATGAATTAAATATGTGTACTATCCGTACCGCTATGCCGAGTTTGAGCTCGGCATCACAGCGCGACCTCGGACACGCGCTAGGCGATATCGGCTCGCTATCCAATTAGGTCATAAACTGATCTCGGGCCCAAGGCCCAACAAAACCCTAATACACAAAAAGGTACGTGCATTACTTATACGAGACTCATACACCCACAAACACTAACTTTAGCATCGGAGTCTCTTTTGCAGGTACCACCCCCATCTTGGAACACCAACGTACCAGCGAAGGAGGCTCACCGACCTTATACCAAAGCAAAATATTGTAACAATGAAAAAGAAAAGTACCCCAATAAAAAGGCCAATTAGGAGTGAAAAAAATTAAAAAATAACAAATCTTGGTTTAGGAAATTGTTAAGTCCATAGAAGATCTTGGATCCTCCAATTTTTAGAGTTTTAATGCTAACAAGCGAAATATTTTTATAAGAGAAAATGTTTTAAAAAAAAACATCTTAAAAAATATATTTGAAAATTCTTATTAGACAAAGTATAAGACATAAATCATCTGTAAGACAATGTAAATTAGATGAGGCATACAATCTATTTCACATACATTAAATGTTCATGATTTATTGAGACTAACAACAAAGTTTGTTTTAAATTCTTCATTCCTTAATAGATCGAACTAGAAAGTCATCTCGAAACTCACAAATCTATTAAGGAGAAAAATCATGCTTTCTATCAAGACCAAGGACAAAGATCCCTACAATCACGGAGAAAAATAGATAAAGTCATTGATGTAGTTGCACTATGTTGACATTACTTTTGCAAGCTCCATTTGGTATGGAAAGTTGATAAGTAACTTCCTTAATCAGATAAGAGGTACCATTTAGTGAAATACATTCAATGCTTACATTAAATGAGTCAACAATTACCTGTCATAGCAAGGAAAAATGATGAAGATAGACAAAGCAAACTTGTGAGATGCACTCAAAGTATTAGAACGATCATCTTCCTTAAGCTACTATATAAGAAGACTCAAAACTCATGAAAGGAAGAGATATACACAACATAAAAGAGACATACTTGTACAAAAATATACTCTTTGTAAATTATACTCACTTTTTCTTATAAAAGCTTATTGCTCTATATTAGTTCTATAACGTCTAAGTGAGACGAACATAACATCTTTGTAACTTTCATAACCATTGTTATAAGGTTGATCCTAGAAAGACTTTCCTGTAAAAGAATACTTATTTTGAGCTTGGAGAGGCTTGACTATAAAAGAATACTTGGTTCTTAAGCTTGGAGAGACTTGTTGTGAAAAGAATACTTGGGTAGTTGCTTGAAGAAACAAGTCAAAGAATACTTAGGGTTGAGCCAAAAGTAGCTTGTTAAAAGAATACTTGTATCTTTATTGAAAGATAGTGGAACTCAATCTAATTGGATTAAGAACTAGTTGTAGTCTTGGTGATTAAGACAAACTAGTATAAAAATACCCAGTGTTCTGTTTGACTTCTCTTCGCACTCTAATTGACTAGTGTTACTACCTCACTACAAAAAATATGTGAGTTTTTGATATACATTATTCAACCCCCTCTAGTGTTTATTTTTTCTAAAAAGTTTGGTATCAAAGCTCAACCTTTGATGAGATTGAACATCGTGCCAAAGGAAAAAGATCCATGATGGGAAGTAGTGAAGGACAGTACCGACCAAAAGTCAAAACTTAGTCCTAGAGGGGAAGGCCCTTTCCAAATCCTTAAGAAAATCAACAATAATGCCTATGTCCTAGATCTTCCTTCTGAGTATGGAGTTAGTTCTAGTTTCAATGTTTCTGATTTGTCTCTTTTTACAGGACTAGCTACCCAAGAGGAAGATGCTTTAGATTTGAGGACAAATCCTCTTCAAGAGGGAGGGGATGATGGAGGAGGCCCATGGGCTAAGGGCCCAACTACTAGAGCTATGGCAAGGATGATGCATGAAGAGTGGGCCCAAGCCCAAGGAAAGCCCACCACTTTATTTTGTTGGGCTTTGTCTCAAGCCCATTAGATTAGGGTTAACCGTTCTCCCCACGTGTTTTATTTCCTCAATCCGCACTTTAATAACTACCTTGGTGCAACCATAAGAACCTCCGATAACTTCTCTATTTCTTCAAGCATATCATTGTTCTACTCGAAACAATTCCTTTTCGATCTCGAACATCTGTTACTAGTAGGTGTCTTGACTTTATATTGTTTTCGAGGAATCTCATACAATATTTCGACTCATGTGATTTTCGAGTAGGCCTAACAAATGCCCCCTAGGAATTCAATCTTGGTGAGCATACTCATACTGCGATGAGAGAGATTTGAATTCCTATCGAGAATCATTTTTCGATTCCTCATCGAATTGCTTAAATAGTGAGCCTTTAAATTTCTTCGATGAAAACTTACTCTGATCCGTATTTAATGCAAATGACCGTTTGATGGGACATTGATTGTCTTGACGGCGCGTGCTCACACTACTCCATAAATTTGTCTTTGAGAAAAACGTTTTGGCGGCTGTTATGAATATTCAAATTAAAATTTGAATTAATTTGGTAAGCCCATTTCACCTCAGGCCCATCAATGCGTTAAAACTCTCTTTTTACCCTAAAGTAAAACCACTTTCACCATTTTGTTCCTTTCTTCCTTCACGCCCAAGCTTTCTTGTTCTTGCGCCCAAACTTTCTTGCTCAGTGCTTCCTTGTTTACTCGTTGCTCTCCTTGCTTTGGTTCTTGATCTTCTCTTCCAACCATTTTTTCTCTCTTTACCTTTGCTTGACATGGCTTCTTCTGCTGCATCAACCTCTGCTGCCGTAGCATCAGCAGTTTCTCCCGTCACGGCCTCTGCATCATCTCCTACCATGACCTCTGCATTGTCTCCTATAATGGCCACTTCCACCTCTACTCAGACTGGTCCTTTATTGATGGCCAATGCCCAAGTCTGCACTGTCAAAGACGGAGATGATACCTTCGTCCCCATTTCGGGCATGGAAGAGGCAAGCCTCAAAATTTTTCAATCCCAGGTACTTCTTCCCTTCTCTCTTGAGAATGGTAGCATCCATGCTTTCTTAGGGCCGTTTGCTGGTCAAAACAAGAAAAAGTTTGGTAATACTTTACTGCCTGAGGACTCTTCTACCTTCCCTTTCATTCATTCTGCTGAGATTGATTTGTCGTTATTTGGAGATACTACCAAGATCTTTAGGGCTTTTCCTCCTACCAAGGATAGGCACTTAGCATGGTTAACTCGTGTAGAAAATTCGATGCACTCTAAGTGGGTAGAAACTGGTATTTCTGAATTGATTCAATTGGCTAAGTTTGATTTACATTTCTTCGACCCCCAAATGCTTTTGTCTGCTATATTCTTTTGGAATAGAGAAACTCAAGCCTTTGAATTTCCTTGTGGTTTCGTATGTCCTACCTTGCTCGATATTGCTGCTATTACGGGCTTAGCGCCTATTGACTATAAAAGAATACTTGGTTCTTAAGCTTGGAGAGACTTGTTGTGAAAAGAATACTTGGGTAGTTGCTTGAAGAAACAAGTCAAAGAATACTTAGGGTTGAGCCAAAAGTAGCTTGTTAAAAGAATACTTGTATCAGCGGATCAACTCTACCTCAGATCCCCGGTAAGAACAATATGTTTTTAGGCTTAGAAATTTGATATCATTCTCTTTTTTTTTAACATAATTTAAATTTTTTTTTAATTTCTAAATTTCATGATATTATGTTTGTAGTCCTTAATCTTAGACAACGATAGTAATATATTTTATGTGACAAATGAAGTATACATCTGCAAATATCATGTGTAAGTAATTAGTATTGTTGAAAATTATTTATTTTTCCTTTTTAATTTGAAGTGTTTTTTTAAATAAAAAACCCTTATTAAGGTAACCAAAACCTTGTGACTTGAAATGACATTCTTATTGTCTCTTGTTTGAATCTCGTTTTAGAGACTAGAAACGACGTTTTCACTTTTCCTGTTAGTACAAATAATGTTTTGTTTCACAATGTTGTACTCATGTGTGACCTTCAATGAGGTGTCGGTGATTGGTGACTCTTGACAAACTCAAGGTGTTGTGTGTTGAAGAACATTTGCATTGATGAGAAAATTGGTGTTGTGCATTTTTGCATTCTCCATTCTCGATTTCACGACATTTTATTCAAGGAATGTACTTGACCTATGATAGAAGAGGTTAGGAGGAGTGGAAGATAACTTCTCCTTAGCTCTCCTTATGCACGGATCTTCTTCAAGAAAATGCAATCCGAAATTGATTGACACTATAAGGAGGATTCTCGGAACAAGATGAAGGCTCAAGCCTTGGATGGAAGCATCCAAGCTCAAGGACCAATGGAGTACTCACTTCAAAGAGGAGGAAGAAGGTGTTCTTCCTAGGGTTTTGAGTGAATTCTCTCAAGACTTTTGAAGGGGAAACTCGGCACTTGGCTCTCAAATTTCAGATATGATTCAAAAGTAGTACAAATGGGTAAGAAGGAAACATATATAGCATCCGGAAATGGCTCACACTTGGCGCCAATGTGCTAGCCTCATGTGGCGCCAAGTTTTTTAATTCAAATTTGAATTTGAATTCAAAAACTTAACTCACATGCAAGGTCCGATCACATTGGTGTTTAGTGTACATTTAGGTTGAATTTAATTAGCATTTAGGGTTGAATTTGTGTCACACTTGTTCAGCCAAGGTGGCGCAAACAATGTGACTCTAAATTCAACTTAAATGCAAGTTAAATTTAACCTAATGTTGCCTAATCCTAAGGTTTGATAATTCCTCCTTAAAACCTAAACTAATGACCTAAATACAATGGTCAATGAAATACAATGAAAAGGAAAAATTACAAGAAGAAGAATGAGCCTAATATTGGGTATCAAAAGCCCAAAGCCTAAGAAGCCCAAATACAAGCCCAA